ATGAGGAGGAAATAACCATTCAGATCGACTTGAAGAGGTGGCGCGCACATACAGTACAGATAGAAGTTCACGAGCGGACGGCTGCAATGCACCCACAGCTACTGCATCCACTCTCTAGACGCATATCAGTTAAGACAAAAAGAGTTTCGCACCGAAATTCCAGACGATGTCTGCTGGTGAAGACGCAGCTAGTTAAGAAACCTTTTTTTTTTAAATTCATTTCGAAGCTTTTTAGTTACGAGAAGATGAAGTTGAAGAACGCAAGGCCTTGGATGAGCTGCGCTGCGTCCTAACAAGAAATGAGATATCTTATAGTTATGTCGCGAAAAGGTCAGTCTATAGTGAACTCCTCAGAAATTTGATCAGTCATTAAAACTGGGGGAAGCCCAAGGTAGGCGAGGGCAGTGATGAAGAAGGGTCGACCACGTTTTGAAGACACCGTTTTCAGTATGCTACAGTTATGCGCATATCGCGAAGGTGAAAAGACGGAAGTGAAACGCGGTCAACTGACATAACGAAAATCCCTGAATATCCTCCCAGAAGAAATTCGTGACAGAAAAACCAGATGAAGCTGGTGAGGTGGAAAATTCTGAGTTTTAAAAGCTACATAGCAAAAGAATGACTTTGAACCAGAATCAGCTTCTTCCAGAGCTTCATTTTTTCTCAGAAACAACTTCAGTGTTCAGCTAGCTACTATAGCTATATTTTTGCTCTGGAAAATCTGAATTACTTTCTGTTTACCAGGCGTAATGGGATAAAGTAAGTTCTTCACGCACGGCGTGCAATATTGTCGGTCGATGTATAGGGTTCACGCATTTTTCACTTCATTTCGTTACGCCACGCACTTACTGCTGCTGCATTTATTCTCTCCTTATTAGCACTGTTTCAAACGTTCCAGCAAAACAAGCATTTTGCGGTAACACATAAAGAATGCGTCGAGCGTGGCGCCATGAGCATCGCGTCACGTGCACAGCTGCGATACACGCAGCTGAGTGACACGCATGACGTGAAGGGTGGGAGAGTGGAAGGACGCGACTTGTCGATTGTTGCGGAGCAGAAAAGGGAACACATGGAAATGATCGTTGTCGCGCAAAACGACAGCAGCAGCAGCAACAGCAGCAGCAGAAGCAGCAGCCACTCAGCGGCCGGATTGAACAGCGCCCGCTGCCGCATCGACGAGCCGACAAACTTCGGGCACACGCCCAGCACGGACTCCACGCTATGCCAGGAGCTGAACAGCGCTATCCATCGATCGATCCAACCAACCGTCTGCTGGAAGTGTCGCGAGTTGCTTGCTGAAAGAGGGCAGGACTGCTGCGCTCGCTCTCTTCCCTCACTGAGTTAGCAAAGGGTCCGAAATGCCCTGCCCCCCTTCCCTCACTGAGTTAGCGAAGAATCCGGAATACCCCCTACCCCCAGCGCCGCCGTCGTCCACATCCTGTCTTTTCCGCCGACTGGATGATGCACTGGATGTCTGCTTGGAAAAAGGGGTTTTCGGGCTGTCGACGGTTGCGATGCAGTGCGGGTGGGACGACAGCACAGCACGAGGTCAGAATGAAGGAGCAAGTCGCCGGTTGTTTACCGGTCGAGTGAAAGTGAGGGCAATGACCTCTTCCGGGCAGCAGTGTATCAAAAGGCGGTGTGGAGCAGGCAGTGCTGCTTCTTGCATTAGGGACCGGCAGGAAACCTGCAAAGACACTCCAGTTCTTCCCAATTATTCATATCATAATAATGGTCAGCTGAACTAATAGTACAGTTTTGAACAGCAAAACATCGACACAGTTACTGCAAAAATAGATCAGTTTCTGCTACATCCTGCTCCACTGCACGGTTTCAGTCCACCACCGCAACTTAGCAAAAATTCAAAAGCTGAAAAAGCAACGCACAAAAGAATCAATGAAGTTTTATCAATGAAATGCACTAAAACGTTGAATCTCGATATCCTGAAATCAAACAGTTCTACAGGTGATGAAACGGTCTTCAGACACAGTACGATGAATTTGATATGCAAGGCTGTTAGCAGTCCGTGTTTTTGTCCTGATAAAACAAAGAAATCTCAAGCCCCTAGCAATAATTTTTCAGAGGTAACATTTCCTACACTGACTGGTGTCCCGATCGAATTAAAGTATCGTCGGCTAAGTTGATCTGTTTCTGGTCATATTTTAAATTTCACTCAACGTCACGGCGGCGAATTCGGGCAGTTTATGATTCAGAAAATTGACACACCTGAACAGTTTCCTTTGCCTGAGTTCCTTTGTTCCTGAAGATCTGGTTTGCAAAGGACCATGCTCGTCCGGCCATTTGTCAACTTGCTTGCTCTCTTCAGCCGTTAAACTAGTCTAAAACATTTTGAAGAAGATTCCCTCACACTCGAAGGACATAGTTGCTTTATAATTTTAATAATGAAATATTGTCTTTTGCCCAATTTTTCTGAAAGTGCTATTTACATCGCCCTGACGCCCATATGTTCTTTCCTGTAGTAGCTTTTGTTTTCTTAGCGTCTAAAATGCCTTCAGTTGAGCAATTCTTGTTTCTCTGTCAACAAATCGCAACCCCGGTATTTAACCATTCATTTATGACTTGCTCTGGCCGTATTTTTTAAAGCTTGCTTGCGATGTACGAATCTGAGACACTGGACTGCATCACGTTTGGCGATATTGTCTGGCTCCGCTTTGCGAAAAAAAAGCTGCTTTACGCTCTGCTGATATGGAGAGCAATTTGTGCTGTTCAGCTGATGTGCGAAATTCGCAAATTTTTTTGTTCTGATTCTTTTCCTCGCCCTTCCAGTGCACTTCTACTGTGCTGGCGTTGCGGTACTTGCAAAACCTGCATGTGCTAATGCACTGAGTAGTTTTTTTTTTCTTAGGGAGTGGCGGGAGGGAGTGGGAGAAAGAACCTTAGATTGTCTTTGTGTGACAGCATGTTTGCTTGAGGCTGCATCAAAGGAATCATTTCAAATGGTTTGCAGAGCTCATGAAGCTGGAAAAAAAGAGTAGTGAAAATGCAAAATTGAATTGTCGCAGTGCGAATTCTCCGTCACTGGTTGTCGGGATTATGCAACACTAAACTATGAAATCACTAAGACTACTCGACAAGTAATCGATGTGTAGCGTTCGATGTTCGTGTATTTCGGCCAGGATTCGGAGTTGAAAAACAGGCACAAACAAAGGATGCTTCGGCAATATTACCAATGATTAATGAATGATGAGTTGGGAATTTGCAACGAAAACGGAAGCTGTAAGTCGTTTTGGTAGTGGTGCAATGGTAAATCCTGATTGATTGCTGTGCTCGTGCAGTGATGGCAGTGCGCAACATTCTACAACTGAAAAAAATTTCGAACAAAGATAAGGATCAAACCGCCCAGTCCTGGATGTATAAAATTGTCCAGTAGAAGGAAAATGAGCTATACATTCGTGACAGAGATCCGCTTTTGAAAGAGACTCAAATTTTCAATCGTACTTGAATTATTATTCATTTAAAAATTCATTCATATGTCATGACTACGTTTTTTGCATGCCACGAAAGCTCTTGTTATCTCATAAATTCAGATACAACATAGTTATGCGTAATCTCCAAATCAAGACGAAAAGCTGGGAGTAGAAAAAAGAAATACATGATCAAGACAAAAAACTACGCAACGGTTCACCGTACACACGGCTCTGGCAAGCAGTTTCAGCACTGAAGTTGCGCGGAAAATGTACGGTATAGGTGTAAGCAGCTACAGAGATGATAAACTGGTGGCTATCGTATATGTGGCAGGTCAGCGTAACTGAAGCGACAAATGTGAAAAATTGACTAGAGATATGACGACAGAAATCCAATGAGATTCTCACTGCCTCGCGGGGCCTTAAAGCGGCATAGAATGAACCGAGCAAATCCGCGGCTGGTTCGAGGAACTTCGCAACTGCGCAAATACTGTTTGAGAGGGAAAACTGACTTGCAAAAATAGACAAATTTTTCCATGCAAAAAGGAAAGGCATTGCAAAATTATAGCTGCCGGCAAAAGGAAATGGTGGTTTTAAAAAAACACAAAGTGAAAAAGTGGCATAAAGATGCTGATGTTGTAACATCCCACAATGGCAGTCTTAAAAGTGAAAGTGAAAAATGGGACATGGATTAGCTAGAGATGGCGGGTATATAAAAAATTTTGCATGAATCTGTTTGCGTCACGTGCGAACATTCCATTAGCAGTAAATCAAGCC